GAGGGAGATTATATTTAGAGACATCTTATTATTTTAGAGATTCAAGACTTTTCATACTCAAAGAGTTGTACGATATAAAAAGTAGGGAATACTTATATAAATAAACAATTTAGGTAAGAACTTTTAAATTTTTTGTAGAAAAATTATTTTTTTAGATTTAAACAAGAACGAAGTTATATGTTAGATTAAAATAATTTAATAAAAAAATAACTTGAAAAAATTATGACTCATTGCAGTTTACAAAAATGATAAATACAAGAAAAAATTTTAGTATGAAAAGGTTGAAATTCAATTAATGTGTCTTAAAATAAAAAATAACCAAATGAGCATTTTGATTCACATTGAAGGCTCAGAAATAAAGTTATATGTTTTCATTCAAGTTAAATAAAAGTAAGTTCAAGAATAGTATAATAAATCAAAACTTGCTGTAACTAATCAAAATGGTTTTGCAATGTGCTGCAAAAAATCTCCATTTTCTTTCCAAAAAAATAATTGCAAAAAGTTTTAAAATATAAATATGGCTAGTTATCACATTTATACCTACAGCATTTCTCACCAAATGAAAAAATTATAAAAGTTAAAGTTCAATGATAAGTGATCTTTCTAATCAAGTCTAACCCCTTTAAGACTGTCCTCGCATAACTGTGTGGGTTTGATGTAACCCAATATGTGAATATATGTGTATAATTTCAAATAAAGTTTAAATTAAGTAAAATTTTCTTCTTATAGCTATAGCTATCAGTTTAGTATTAAAAATATCTTAGCTGCTTTGTTACAAACAATAAAAAAAAAATTTAAATGTAATATTATATTCAAGTTTGCATGGATTATCTTAAATTTCTTAGAATAATGTTCATAATAAAATCATTTTCCGAGCACTTTTTATGTGTTAAGCTACTTATACTAAAAAAAAATAAGAACTTTCAAATTGCATCAGGTCATAAAAAGTTAATTAAGAATCCCCTAAACCATGGCAATATTTGACTAATAACACTAAAATAACTTATTGCATCGAACAACAAAAATAAAAATAATAATGCAAAATCGCATTTGAATAACATTTACCCGAAGTAAAACTTACATCAATAACAACACCAACATCGCCTTCTCTGAGTCCAGGAGTGTCTTGTATGCATCTTACCCAAAATCCTAATCTTAAGTGAGTCATCATGTATCTCAAATATTCCTGATCACTAGAAAAATTTTCTCTACTCAAATATTCACTATCCTGAAAGAAAAACCAGAACTAAAGATAAGACAGTGCAGCATTCAGTACAAAATTCAAAATTAATCATCTTGCATATCATTTAATGTTCAGATTATTTACAGAGTATCTGCTACATTTTAGATTTAATTCTTTCCATGGCTAATTCCAAAATTTTTCTTGACTTAACGAAGTTACCGTTTACTCCGACAAAAATGCAACAATAAAATTTAAAAAAGCACTATAATGACATCAATTGAAATGATAGATATAACCAAAACTGTTATGCTCTGCATCTTCATATTTGTAGATTTTAAATTTAAAAAACAGAGTAAAGAAAGAGTTGAAGCAACAAAATAGCTGAAAGAAAATATAAAAGCAAGTAATTATTTTTTCTCTTTTTCTGCAGAATTATATTCTAAAGATACTTTTCGTGTTCATCAGAAATACATTTTTCCTCATTTTTCTGTTCACATTTCGGAATAAAAAAAATTCGCATATGACTGGCTTGCTTCAGCTAGAATTTTAAATTGATAAAATAAAATAAGAATAATAAATAATAAAAATTCTGAAATTACAGAAGTTTAAAAGATAATTCGCTCTAGAAATGATGTTTTTGCTTTCATTTTTTGAAAAAACACCAAAATTTTTAAAGAACATGATAAAAACATTTTACATTTTAATAAAAAATGACTGTGAGTGGGGATTTTGTTAGAAATTCAGATACTCGAAACACCATGAAATTGGGGAGGGGGATTCAATTTTAAAAATTAGACCAATTCAAGGACCTAAATCCATGATTTTAAAAAAAAAAAAAAAATAGTTAAAATCATGACATTTCATGGCGAATTTTGTTCAATACCCAAATTCATGACTTTCCAGGTGCGCAGATACCTTGTAATCATCAAATTTCTTGTCAATGTGGTCCTGGACAAACAAAGCTTACCCTCAAATTTGAAAAAGAACATGAAAAATTTGTCCAAAATCAGGATATTAAATTATCTATTGCCCTTTTTTCTATACATTGAACATGTCTAAATACAAATTTAACCAATGAAAGATATGCAGTTCATAATTGTTTAACCTGCTGGTCCTTCATTCAAAAAGGTTGCGCACCTCTACTACTACATTTAATCTATTTTTCAAAATTTTTCATTGGTGAATCATTGGCCCTTCTTTGGTCTACCAGTTGTACCAGTGGTCCTTCATTCAAAAATGTTGTGCACCCTTACATTACTATAGTTAATCATTTTAATAAATTCATTAGCTAGGGAAAATATGAGACAACTATTTTTGATCTATTATAGTGAGTGATTAATGAATTTCAGATAATTGAATTGAGATCAATTCAGAATTCAATTCTGAGACTGATTCTTAGAACCTCTTTTATCCAAATAATTCTGTCAATCAAAATTGATTTTAAAATTTCTTTTACTTCTCTTTTTTCAATTTAATAATTCGCTTACTACCAACATCAGAAGTATTGCAGCCCACATAACAAAGTGACATTTTCTCATTGGAAACTCTGAAACTGCACAAACTACATAAACAAGTACCTCAATTAGAAAAAAAAAAATACTAAATAACCATGGTAATGAAAATTTTCAGATAATATTTTTAAGCTTACATGCAAGTTTTCTGATCATATATGGAGAGAAAAAAATTCTATAACACAAAATCTTTGTACTACTTAATTCACAAAGTACCTATTTTTGTGAGCAACAAATAGAAGTTGTCTCTAGTAGGTGAAGTTGAGTTCATTTTGTTTAATTATTTCTCAGTTACATACTACACTAATGCAGCTAATTTTGACACTCATGTTTTGACTTCCTAAAATATATTATGTTACACTTCATAATCTTGGTTTTCAAAGTTTATTGATTGAAAAGGATGATTAGAGCAATGAACGCTTATAATTTAAAGATTATTCTCAATATAAGTAGGTTTGTGTCCTATTAATTTGGATAGCTTAAATTTTACTATAATGTTAAATGTAAACAATATTGAAGACCAGATTAATTTTTCTCACAAAATATAAAATAAACACAAGTTCTTGTTACTTTTGAAAACACCTTTTTACCTAAAAATTGCAGGCATTTCAGGATACGGGAATCACCACTATTAAATATGATACTAAAATTAGCCACTTCTTAATATGAAATCTAAAAACAATTACCCAATTGAAATATATTAAAATTTCTTTTAATGACTAACTTTATAACTAATATTAATAACTTCTTAATGAATATGACGCCCGCAGGCTGAGTGGTACCGCATCACGCTCCTGTGCCACAGGTTCTGGGTTCGACCCTCGGGTCGGGCAAGGTTGACTCAGCCTTTCATCCCTTCAGTGGGTGAATAAATAAGTACAAGCATGCTTGAGAATTAAAGACTAGGGGTTTTACGTTCGGCAGACCACCTGACTGGAACATCTGCTCCTGCACCTCAGAGCCCAAGGTCAAGAAAACTGAGATGGGCACAGTAGGCCTTGGCCCTCTATGGGCTATCGCGTCACTGAGTTTAGTTTAGTCTTAATGAATATAATTAATAGTATAATAAATAGCTTTTTAATATATGAATAAAAAGTTCAAGTTTTTTTGCAGCTGGTTATACCTTTTACATTTAGAATTTTTATCGTGTTCAAAATTATTACATGGAAAAAAAGTCAAATGAACCACAAATCTAAGAAACTTAAATCAAACCTAAACAAGAAGAAAAGTTAAAGGTGTTATTATACTTTCTAGAGAAACAGAAGGGAGGGAGTTATGAAAGAATGAAATAGGGAGAAATATCTAATTAAAATGAAATTATGGATAACTTGAAAGAAATGATTGCCACTCAATAAAATCAACTATAGAACTGAAGGATATCCTTTTTGTCAGATATTTCATCTTAGAGGGTAAAAACAGGTAGTGGGTTGTTAGCTGATAACTGAGGAAACTTTTATGAACAGGATTATTTAATTATAAATTCTACAAGAATAACTTTTGAACAAAATAAATATGTAATTCCTGTTTCAGTAAAATAAAAAAAAAAAAATTTAAATTTAAACATGTCTAAAAATTACACTTAATAAATCATCTTAATTCAATTTTTAGTTAAAAAATTAATAAATTTGATTGATCTACTGATCCAATTTTAACCTACTAAATTGCAACTTTCTTAGTTTATGAGGGTCTCCAGAAATATGCTAACTAATTTATACAGGCTTTAATTACATAGAAGTACAAATTTGGATAAAATAACCACAATGAATCAGGAAGCACTCTGAAAATTTAAGCTTCCTAATGCTATTTTTAATGTTTGCATATCGATATTTCAAATATGTCTAGAAAACCAATCGTGCAAATAACAACCCTTCTACTCACATTAATAAAACTTGTTTGTAATTTTACATCAAAACTTACTTATTACGAATGGTCAAGCTTTATAAATAAATAAATATTTTTTTTATTTGGATATTCCAGCAAAATATGCAAAAAGTTAAGCACTTTAAGAGGCTTCCATTTTTGATTTATATCTTGTTTAAGATGTAGGGACCATAACATCTATATTATAATTATCTTATATCAAGAGTTTGAAACTCAAATTCATCAAAAGAAAATACATTTTGTATGTAATTTTTTTACTTATTTTCCACAAACATATTTAAATTAGCATATCTGAGATAGGACTCTTGAACCATGAAGATTAGGTAGTTCACTGAAACCATGATCTTGACAGGTGAAAATCTAATCATTAGGTCGAGTGTCTATACGCCGTAAATGCACAAAAAAATAAATAATTGAAAACCTACCACAATTTGTGTAAATCACTATTACTTTTGATCCGAAGCTCATCAATTGTCCAAGCTCTTCCTAAAATAATAATATAAGAAAAAGGTATAAAATAAATGCATTTCAAAATTCTAGAAATTGCATATACCTGAGTAAGGTAAACCCTTTGAGTGCATAATACAATAATAATAGCACTGACTTTGATCACTTTCATTAAAATATCTTTCAGAATATTTTATTTTTTCAACTTCTTAACACATTTAAAATAAATAACATCTAAAAAATGTCATTTAAATAAAACAAATCAAAATATTTAATCCCATTGAGTTTCATACAAAATTATTTCACTGAAAGTAGGAAAAAATAATGCTACTTTGATCGAATGAGTATCAATAAAATTTATTCAGCTTTTGAGGTAGCAACAAAAAATAAAATAAATCAGTTTCTTAAGTCTTTAATTTAATTTTTATTGATAAACTAATTTAAATACTTGTAAAATTTATAAAAGGAGTACGACAATTAATTATTATATCTATAGCTACACGCTCTAAACATGAAAGATATGCATTTTTTGTCTAGAAAATATTGTAAAGCACAAAAAAATTAAATGTGTAGATTTATAATTAGTTTCACTTTATATCTCCTTGCTAGAAGGTAAAGTGTAATTAGTACCTGAAATTATACAATAAATTATCGCAAAACCAGTACAAAACGTTTCGAATTATTTATTTCAGAAGCCTTTTAATTGATGCTTTAATGAATATCAAATTCTGTTAAGTATGACTAACATAAAAAGTAAAACTATTAGTATTGTTTAAAAAATCATAAAAATAATAACATGCCTTTTAAAAATTTATGGTATGTCAGTTTATGAAGAAAAAAAAAAAAGATATTTTTGTTCTGTGTTGCCTATAAAGAACAAAACTTGTCATTCAACCTCTTATTAATAAATTAAATAAAATCAGTAACTCAAATGATCATAGATGGCCCAAGACTGGTAAGACATGATTAATGATTTACTTTGCTTTTCTATTTACTTCGCTTTCAAATTACTAAACCTTGAACCTATTCAATAAGACAGATTCTAATTTTCACACATGCGAATTAAAAGCAGAGTCGAGGTTTAAGTCTGTAATATGGAAGATTAAAACCTTAATCATTTTATTAAACATTGATATAACAAATATATAGATAAAAAAATTAGGTATAGTTTAAAATTATTCACGGAAATCAACTGCAAAAATATATTCATAAATTTTTTTAAAAAATTAATTACAGTTTCATTTCAGTTTCCTCTTCCTCATAGTTTTCAGTTTTCCTGCAGTGCATTTTTGCCATTTAAAGCATGAATTTTTCTTTGAAACTGATGTATTTCTTCAATACATATTATTTAAAGTAAAAATGAACTTAGCTCTCATTTAACAAAAAATGTCTTTCAAAATATAAAAGGTGACTTTTTACAAAAACCATGACAGAAAACCATGCATTTTTCGTATGAAAACTAATTTAAAATTGGTCTGTAACAAAAACAATATCACACAGTTTTCCAACTTTGTACAACACTTAGGAGTCCAATACCTGATTTAACTTCCTCTTCACCCCAATTTTTAGAATCATCAAAAAACTCCATCAAATCGCAGCATATTGAACTTCTATGAAAACTTCTGCTATTTTCTATAATAGATTTACTGATGCTCAATTTTTTTAATCCTTCACTGAATCTGAAAGAAAAATCCTGTGTCAGATGATTTTATCGGCAATTATATACATCAATAGTATAATTATATTAATCATAGCATAATAACGTTAATCATATAAAAAAACAAGTTCAAAGAAAATAAATTTTATTCAAGAATGACTAATTTATCTTTGTTTACATTAATTGATTTGCCTATTAATTGGAAAAATCTATTTTTCAAACTTATTAAAAAACCTCTTTCCACCCAAAGTAGAATGGGTTTATGTAGAACAATAACAAAGATTCTTTCTACTGCAGTGTTCTTAATATTTTGCCAATTAATAGCATTAAGCCAGTGTTTCCAAAACTTAAGACTTTTGTGTAACTTTTCTAAATTTTTTGTAACACTGTGTACCACTAATAAGAAAATGAAAGTATTTTTTACTATAAAAAAATTGCACAAATGTTAAAAATCACAACTGGCTGTTGACACCACTAATTGTTAACTGTTAATTCCGCAAAAAATAGCCAATAGAAAAATATGTAATCGCAAATTTTCATGGCTAGCTTTGTTTTTAAATAAAATGTTCGTTTGTTGCAAGATATTTCGAATAAGAACACGTACCCACTGTTCCTGTACCCCTAAGGGTACGCGTACCACACTTTGGGAAACACTGTATTAAGCCAATAAAATTCTTTAGACTTGTGCATAGCCACTTCTAGAATTTCTATTATATCTAGAATAGCACATTACACTTTGTACAGTCATTTGTGCTTCATGCACAGCAATTTTCATTTATGCAATTAAAAAATTCCTTATCACAATATGTATAATAGTATTAACAAAATCTAATTTGTGCTAACAAGATTCATGAATAGGACACTTCGATCCACATTACCACTATTTACAAATCAAACATCATCCACTTTAACCTAGATTTACAATAAAGAAATTTATGAGTTACAATCCATATTAATGTGATTTATAAGCCCTACATTAAGATATTCATTAATAGGATTTATAAGTAGCAGTACAAATATTTGTATTAACAGATTATATTAATTTATTCATACCAACAGGCAGCATATATCACTAAATTAGATTTGTAATCACATAAATGAAGAAAAAAATGCATCCAAATTTGTTTTTCATTACTTATAAACATTGCATCTCAATTAATATTCACATTATTACTGAGAAACGCTTTGCATACGCATAAACAAAATTTACAAATCATTCTCATTCATAAGTGTTACATTATACACATGTGTGTAAATACTATAGCTCGTTTACAACATTGGTAGGCTGTAATTGATAAAATACTCTAATGCAAAATGCAAGCATAATTATCAGAAACTTTTTACTTGTTTAAATGTTGGCAGTAGAAAACTGCAGAACGATCTGCCAAGAGGGCCAGACCTCAAACTTAAACTAAGCTTACTCGGAGGAGACAATGAATTTTGTCTTATGAGTTAGACGACAGTTGTCTACCATTCAAGGAGATTACCGTATCCTGATCTGTGGCAGAATAATCACTTGGCAACTTCCAACTTGGCAACTAATAATCTTGGCAACTTCCAGGCAGCGGCCCGCGAGGAACTAAAAAAAAACATCACAGAAAGGGACGAACTCGAAGTGTATAACTCGTACTCACCCACAGGCAAAACATCTACATGTTTTTTTTTTTAAAATTTGCAAGTTTAAAATCTATTTGGCACTTTATTGATTGAAGTTGGTGCAACAGATCAGGATACGGAAATATCCCCCAATTTCATTCATGCAAGTTTCATATTTAATAAAATAAAATACGAAATCAGAAATGTAGAATAATATAATGCTGTAATCAAATCAGAATAATTTTTTTCAGAACTAGTGATAATTTCTGGAAAACATCTCGTACCCCTAATGAATGAAGAATTATTATGTTTGAGAATGATCAATTCAAATGTTGCAGTGAGGAAAAAAATGATTAAAAAATTTCTAAAAACCAGGTTTTGCTTTTAACTTTTTGTAAACTCAGAAAAGAATGATTTTTTTTCTTTTGAGAATCAAAAATTATATGAGAACACTATAACGAAGACTCAGTTTAATATAAAAAAAGAAGAATTGTAAAAATTTATTAATAGAGAGGGTGAGTTATATTGTATAGGAAATATCTGACTCACAGTTTAATTTTTCCATCATTAAAATTTAGAAATACTTTTTTACACCTAGCTAATAATAGTGAGCGGAACATATTCTTGAGTGATCAATTTCCAAACAATAAAAATTCCTCCTTTAAATGCTATTCCTGATTCTTAAACATGAGTTTTATTTCCCATTTTAAATGCTTGTTAAATTCAAAAAAAAAATTTCAGAAATTCACGGTGAAGGAGAACTAGATTGTTGTAAATAAACAAAGAAAAGTACGGTTACAGTGAAAAAACAATGTTAAAAAATTTCAAGTTAACAGCCGTTCACAGTTCAGTCATTACTGAAAGATTATTCACACTCAATCTATGCAAAGGAAAAATCGTGTATGCGAATTCAAAAGTGCGAGCGAGAACGTGGTTGCTGAGTTGGCCGATTATTTCGTAGTTGCTGCTGGTTTGCTAATTGCAGCTGGTTCGTAGTAGCAGCTGCACAATACGCTATAGGAGGTGATCTGAGAAACATCTCTGAAGATTGTCCGAATACATGCCATCAATTTAGACCCTCTGCGGATGGCTGTTGTTCTTGAAGTTCATTTACGTCGCACTAGAGCAGCATAATTGGCTATTCTCGACGGTCTGAAAAACATCCCTGAGGATGATCCAAAGCCATGCCATCACAATTTTATCCTCTACAGAGGGGATGGCATTCCCGCTACGATAGCCCAGTGACCTGCACGCGAAGTCAAGCACTTTACGAAGGAACAGTTTAACGAGGACCCATACCGTACACCCTCGGTCCCTACGCAGAATGATCCAAGTGGTCACACACCCGCACACTGACCGCAGTCAGTGAAGCTTGACTTCCGTGATCTGCTGAGAATCGTGTCTTAACGGTCTCCGCAGAGGGTCACTGCGAGACCCTCTGCGGAGGGTTGGCTCCATCGCCTTGATAGCCCGACGATCTGCACTCGACATCAAGCTCTGTACGGTAGGCCGACGACCAATACTGCACATCCTCGGTCACTCAGCCACGTGCTGCCAGCTGCCAGTAATGCTTGACTGTGGTGATCTGCTGGGAACAGTGACCTACGATCAGTTCACATGGGGGCAAATTAATATGGGGAAAGGACGAAGAAATGGCGAAATATTTATGAGAAACGGAGGTGAAAAATTGATTAAATATGTTGACCATTTACATTTTTGAAAACAAACTTAATTTTTGAAACTTATAAACTTTTTTTTCCATTAAAGGTTACAAATTAGTAGGCAACCGGGAAAAAAATTCTATCGGAATCTAATAAATCACAATCGAGGAAGGTGTTGAAACTTTGAAATGATTTCCAGATGAAACTTGCATGTGTTTCTAACAATCACCTTTTAATTCCTGTCTGTTTACCTGGATCAATCAGGTTTAAATGTTTTCAGTTCTGCCCTCTTTTGTGGTGATTCACGACTCTTAACTGTCCGAAAACTATTGGTTTTAGCAGTTATTTATCGTTTTCAGGCAGTTAAGACTTATGAATCATTAATAAGATGGGTTTAAATATATGTCAAAAATTTTCATTGCTAGTGGATGCTTAAAAAATTCTTGCAAATAAAGCATGCTTAATTGTCTTTTCGCTACTCTATTCACCATTTATGGAAAATTTCGTGAATTTAATTATCAATAGTTTTGTTTACAAATTGGCTTATTGTGCACAAAATACAGTTTTTAAATAATAAACGGACCACCCCAAATAACTTTTGATCTAATGATTGGAACTTCATTCTCTAAGGCTCAATCTTAATAGCTTATTGGGTTGACCTTAAATATGTTAGTTAGTTAGAGCAAATGATATTTTAAGTTACGAAATCAGACACAAAAGCATACTCTCTCCGAATAAACATACCTTTTTTTTCGTCGGATTCCCAAAATATAAAAGGGGGCTGCAATCTGGGAAATCTGGTCCCCATAGTTTAGTCTGGAGAGCAGCGCAAAGTTTGGACTTCTTAGTGATAATTTACTCGTGCTTTTCACCATATCACGTGAGCTTTTTAGGCGAATGGAACAATTTTACGCACTATTATAAAATACGTTTATAGTAGGATAATTTCATGAAAAAATATTTATTGTTGTTTATTAATTTTTTTCTTACTATTACATTTAATAATAATAATAAAAAAATATTGAATTGTAAGGTTTACAATTTCTTACATTATTTTAAAGAATGTAATTTTACACGGTGAAGTACAAAATTTGAGCGAATATTTTGAATAGTTCTAGAGAAATTGAATTTAAAAAGTCGTAGATTTAAAATTCGATTTATATATACAATTGATTTATGAATTATGTATATGATTGAATTATTAATATCAAATTTTATTATGTTAGTCAAAAATTTAAAAATTCGAATTCGTGGGGAAAATAAAACAGTTTGTACATTTAGAGAAAATACGTTTTGATTTGTGTCTGATTTCGTAATTTAAAATATCGTCAAGAATACTTAATTAGTATATTTAAGGTAAGCCCTTCGACCCATTAAGATTGAGTCCTAGAACGTGAAGATCCGATCATTAAATCAAAAGTTATTTAAGATGGTCTGTTTTTTTTTTTTTTTTCGGCACTATACATGTATTGAACTGATTATTACATAATTATGGTAATTCACCCTAAATTATCTGTTACTTTAAGATTCAATTAAAAATATTTCTTCTGCGCTACAATTTTATAATTTGTTAAAGTTTTTATTTACTTAAAATTTCGAATATTTATTAGACCCGAGGAATTTAGTTACATACAGTCATTTTACCGCTATACTCCGTATTTCTGCTTTCCTGCCAAGTGATTAATACCAGGGAGAAACAACTTCAACAGGGGTAAATTTATAATCGGAATTTAAAACTGAGTAGATGGGCTGGAAAACAGCTTTATTATGCTATACCGCATTTATTAAAGACAAGTTATGTATAGAAAGAAAATGAAAAATTAAATCTAAAACTTTATAATTAATAATGATTTTTAACTTAAGGTGCACCCATAAAAATTTCATTAAAAAATTGGGAATTATTACTATTTTTCTTTACATTTATTGTAAATAATTTAATGCTATTTTTATTTATTTATTTATTTTATTGGATTTGCAGTTTGTTATAGAGTAAAGTATACTTCCTTCGAAGCTTTTCTTTCAATTATTTTTTTTAAACTAAATGAGCAGTATTGTAATATTTTTTTTTGTACAGCAATGAATAAATGATTAATATTAAAAAAATCGATCTTTCTTGCATTTCGTCAACCTAACTATAAATACATCTTGTGAACAAAAGCTCTTGGATGACAAGCATTCTGTTCATGTTTTCAAAATCTTCATATAAAAATTTCAGTATAATTTTTTTTTTTTTTTTTTTTTTTTTTTTTTTTTTTTTTTTTTTTNATTTTTTTTTTTTTTGCTATTTCATACAACTTTTATGCATTATAGCAATAAAGGAAAAATAATAAAATATTGGTCTTAACTAACTCTAAACTACCTTTGAATTTTTAGAGAATACCAAAGATTTCTCTAAAAATTCTAAGCTCTCGCGATCTTCACAAATCGTAATTACGGGGAAAACGCCCCTTCATATTTTAGGTTTTCAACTACGGCTAGAGATTTTCTAAAGATTGTAAAAAAAATTAAAAATCCAGGTCACGACCAACAAAAAATACGAACATTTCCGAAGACCAAAGCGATTTGAAAGCTCATGGCTTACGATGTTATTACTTAGCTTACATTGTGCATGCTTTCACTTAATAAAATATTTTTCACGTATTGTGCTAATAGTCTTAAAGTTTCCTATTGACTTATAATTGATGAATGATTTAAGGATTGTCGATTTACATCATGGACACTTTTGTTTTTCTCGTTCAGGATAACGCTTGCAACAACAAAAATTAAAGGGAAGTTTCCGCTCACTTTCTAAATACTCGTCTGAAAACTAAATTTTTTCTTGACCAGTTAAAATCCAAAGCTCTGGAAATTGAAAAGAAAAATCTAATTTATATTAATCTCACTTTTTTAAAATTTTTTATACATTTTTAATACCAGTTTATTTATTAGCTATTGTTTGCTTAAAATTATTGTATTATATAATTATTTATTTTTATAACTTATTTATGTAAAAACAAATTTAAATATATAAAATTTTTACAATCCGACTTTAAATTACAAACAAATTCGATTACAAACTTTACAATTCGACAAAAGTTGATTTGGCCGAAATAATTAAAGCATTTACCACTGGTAATGATTATTTTTATAATATTTTTTTTTCTATCTTTAAACGTTTCTGGTTAACTATGTTGATCTTCCATAGCTATCGAGAAAGCTATGGAAGTTTTTTCTCTTATGTAACACTATAATGTGGATACGCGAAAGCCTATGAGAAAAAAAAAGAAGAACCTAAATTTAGACTTTACAAAGGACGAATATAAACTCCTATGTTAGATAAGGATAAAATAAATAAATAAATAACATTAGAATTCATTCCTTAGACTCGAGAATTGAATAAAATATCTTTAAACAGTATGTGTTACTTTTTAATTATGAGAATTGTAATGTTAGGACATAGAAATAGAAAGAGGAAAAAAATATTAGATACTGTGTTAATAAAATTTTTAAAGACTATTAAAAATAATGAAATTTTGCTACGTTATGAAACATAAGTATCACGCTAATATTGATTATTTACTGCCATAGGGACGAAACTAATGCAAAGGGAAGAATATTTTCAAGCATTTTTATATTAAATTTTAATAAATTAATTTTTGCTTCAAATTTTTGGTTTTGTTGTATAGTAAATATTAAAGTTTAGATTTTATAAAAACTAACTCTTTTAATTTGAATGTTACTATAGTTTGTGTTTTTTTCATGGTTTTGAATGCATTGTATTGATATGCATAATAGTTACTTTTTAATATTAATATTTATTTTATCATTTAAAAAATGCAAACTGCCTTTTTACAATTTTAAACAATAAATTTTTACATAACACATTTATTTCAATTTAGGTTTCAGCAAACAGAAATGTTTAAAGTGCTAATCTAAATCATATAAAGTTAAACTTTTAGAAAAATTCCATATTTCGACAACAAGAGCTTTTTTTACAAATGCGGATTTAAATTTTTAAAAAAATTTTTTTATAGATTAATATAATAACATAAAAATTATCGGTGACAAAATGAATAATAATATTAAAATTCTTAAGCAATTAAATTAGATTATTAGCTTTAAAACCTTATTTGATACACTACAGTTCTATACGGTAATTCTATACTGGA